TAAGAGGGGTCTAAGAAGTTAGCCTAAGCACTGTGTCGGAAACCACGGCATCTAAACGAAGATGTTTCTCACATCTCGGATATTTTTCATCCCGCCAGACTGAGAGAAGCAGCTTCAATCTTGGCAAAACGGATTAGTGTAATGTTTTCACATTCACCAAGCTGAGCTCCAGTGACAGAAAATTAGAAGCTGGTTCACATCACGCTAATTTTTTGAACGGGTTGACTCAGCTAACTTCCAGGCCACCGGCCAATAAAACTTTTCTCAGTACCCTCAGAAATCATGAAGTCATTGGAATGCAACGGTCTGCATGATCACTAACTATCTATAAGCCTCTGTCCACTCCGGTAGAACGGTTTCAAGGGTGGTTTCTTTTGTATAATCAACCCGATGACCACAGTCGTCAGATGAACAACCACCATTGATAGCAAGGAGAGGGTTGAGGTCCTATTTCTTCACTTCTGAGAAGCTATTGACAGGTCAATCATATACGTTTAATCAATAAGCCCAAACGATTGTGCATCAAGCCACCATTTATTGATTAGCTCACTTAGCATTTAAATAATCGACCTATTGAGCTCAGTGAAAACTTCACTTTTTCTCAGACTACGGGATGTCCATTGGGGTCCCTCAGAGCCCAGTCCCAGGACCTCTTCTTTTCTTGATTTCAATAAACAAGATTTTTCACAAAGTATTATCCGGTTTATCTGTTTTCGCTGGTGATGTGAAACTCTGAAGAGATGTTTGGAACTAGTATATTCATCTATCAATTCGGGAAGATGTGGCTCGACTTTAGCATTGAGCGGAAAACAACTGACTTACTTCCGACACTTCAAAGTGTGAAGTAGTTCATCTGTGATATGTTGCGGACTACATTTACAACCCTCTTCATGGGACTTCCTAAGTTAAAAAGGATCTAAAAGTGTTGGTGCCCTGTGATCCATAATCTTAAGCTAACAGAGAGAAAAATGCCTTCCGAGAAAACCTTGCACTGGTAACGCTGAAAATCTTTTTTTTCAAGTCCAAAAGTATTTTTTTTTCATATTATGGAAATGTTGTGTTTTCCTTTTACTCGGAAAGGATAAGAATATATTGAAACGCATCCAACCGTGAGCTACGAAACCAATTTATGAAATCAAACTTCATCAAGACATTCTGACGTCAGTGGATCCTAACACATCAGAGTATAGGCGTCACTGACGTGAACTTTTAAGTTCCTCAAGCATTATAGACATTACTGAGCATCACCTAAAATACTTACATAGGCTCAGTCCCGAGGCAACTGATAGTTGCAGTGCCCAGAAACCAGAGAAAGATAATAGAAAACTTCCTACTGGTGGAGGTGGTCGAAGTAAATTCTTGAGAGTCCTTCTAAAAGAACACAGAATACCCCTAGAGACTCAGGATAGTATTTCATCACTCATTTTTCGCCTTGTTCCTCCAACTGTGGTTAGGTTCATACCTGAAAGCATCAATTATAAATTAGTACCAGGTACGAAAGCCTGCAAAGCCAAAGCTTACATCCCATCTTAGACGCCAACCTTCAAAGGAGGTCGACGCAGCGAACCTTCAGTTTACTGGCCCGTGGTTCTTCTCTGTATACCTTCAAAAATTATGAAGTCCCTGATATGGCACGGTATACACTACCATTTATTGTCCTTAAAATTCTTTTCACTCAACAGCATAGTTTCAGGAATGGTCATTCTTGTATAACGAAACTACTGACTGCGGTGGACAGATGAAAACCATCCTTGATGGCAAAGGGAAGGTTGACGTCATCTACCTTGTTTTCTCAAAAGCTTTGATAGGGACAACCATATATGTCTTATCAATGAGCTCAAACGACTGGGTATTAAATCATCTTGAATTAATCGGCTCACTTCATATCTAAAAAGTCGACATTTTGAGACCAGGGTTAACTTCACATTCTCTCGGGCTATGGACTGTCCTAATGTGGTCCCCTGAGTTCAGTACTAGGACCTCTCCTTCCCTTGGTTTATATAAACGATCATCCACAACAGCTGTCCTCTGACTTATTCCTTTTTGCTGATAATGCGAAACTTTGGAAAAAGATACGAAACCAAGAGGATATACTGGCACTTGTTGAGGATCTGAGTTGACTTCAGAGTTGGACAGATGACAATGGACTTAGCTTTAACACTTCAAAGTGTGAAGTTGTCTATCTGAGACATGTTGCAGACTGCAGTTGCAACTTAGGCAACTCCTCTCTGGAAGTATCTCAAGTTAAAAAAGACTTAGGTGTGCTGGTACCCTACGATTTGAAGTCTTTCCAGCAAACCTTTCACTGATAACACTGAAGAGCATTTTTGGCCAGTTTGACGGTAGAACGTTACACAGTTTGATTCGTCCCCACTTAGAATATGGAAACATAGTATTTCCTCCTTCGCTGCAAAAGAATAAGGACACTCTGGATTCTTTTCAACGGCGAGCTACGAAATCAGTTTGAGGACTCAAATTCAAGCCTTATGAAGAGCACTTCCAATCACTAAACCTCTAGTCATTGGGGTAAGTGCGTATTGGAGGTGATCTTTTAATGGCTTACAGCATCTTCAACACTTCTGAACATCCCCTGAAACACCAACTTGAGTTTAATTCCAACACAAACTTAAGGGGTAACACCCAGAAACTGGAGACACAACACAGCAGAACGGGTTGTAGACACAACTTATACCCCTTAAGAGTTGTCAAATGCTAGAATTAGCTGCCGGATCAGCTAGTCTAAGCGAGTTCCCAGGAGTCCTTTAAGAGGAAACGTGGCATATTCCTAAGTAATAGGGATAATATCTTACTATGAGTTACCAATTACTTTTTCCTCTTTTATCGTCAATATACTTAGGTTCCTGCCTGGAGCTATTGGTGACCCACTGCTACTAGGCACGGAGGCCCGTTAAGCGAAAGCTTCTTTTGTTCCGTCTACAACTATTTGGACCATTTGATTTCACGACCTGACCCATTTTACAACTATGGTGGTTGATTCAGAATTGACGCTACAACGTGTAATGGTTTGTCGTGTAGCATGCTGAACTATATTTCTAGTTTTTATCCCAAAATTGTTGTAATCTTTGGTTTGTGTTATTGTTGATTGTTATCGTCTACTTTTATCATTAAATGTAAGTTTATTGTGTGCGCTTGTTAGATCGTTGACTCACCGTTTCTTCTATTGTGTTTTCTTGCCCTTCTCACTCACGTTACTCTGCGTGTTTCTCTAGCACACAAAGTACCTTCTGGACATGCGTGAACTGCTGTCGCGAGATATTCATTGATTATGATAACTTATAAGACATTTCATTCTTAAATTATTTTAAATATCTTGGTGATGATATATATCATCATTGGATATTAATATTAATATCCAATGCACGCTCAATGCATTATCTGCATCTTAATCAGAATGTTGTCTGAAAAAGTAGAAGAAGCAATCAACCAGTGGTTAAATTGTATCAAGAGGTTGTTGCATTGTATATGAAGGAAAAGTCCTTTAGTATTTAGCTACAAGACAATTACTCTATTCATTAAGCCAAAGACCGTTGCGTTGTCTACTTTTCTGGAGTTTTTTTATTCACACTAAGCTAACTTAATGTAGATGAAAAACAACTGTTGAAAAGCATATTGAAATCACTATGAGAGTTTGGTGTGAATTCTGGAAAGCATATAACAATTCGACACCTCCCACTTTTGGAAAATAGTTATATGTTCTCTCTTTTGTGTCCTTCAGGGAAACATTTTTCTAAAATGTTTATATCTTGGTACAAATTTACGCAGCATGTAGACTTTCTGGACTATAACTTGTCGAGAATAAACATGGTTTTTCGTATATGGTTCCATTCACTCTAGTTTCTCCTAAACTAAAACTCAAGTATCCTCACCTTTTTGCCACTTCGTTTACATTTTCCCATCTAGTTTCAAAAAATATTGGTTGGCTTATATTAGTGTTGGTAATGTTAAGGTAGCTGCATTTTATTGATTTCGTGTTATTGAGGTCACTTTTTCTGTGATTTTCCTTCTAAGTTGCACCTCATACGGATCGTCTTCCCCGAGATGACTTACTCCTACCAAATACAAGTACGTCGTTTATTCAGGAGAGTTCTCACCTTTTCTAAATCCTATTCAGAGAGAATTATGGGTAATTTGTCTTCCTTTTTGTCTATTAAAAGTAACTCGGTCATTTCACGTCTGATTTTGATTTCTAATTACATGTGCGTAGTTTACTAGTTTTATTCGTGTACGATAAAACAATCGACCGCTTACATACAGTTATCTACAAGCGTACTATAATGTCTAAAAATCAACGTCAGATCGATTTAGAAACTTTATTATTTGTCAGTCTTATGATAGTTAAACGACAGTTCAACTGTTATTTGGATGATTATGTTCCATTTGCTTCAGAAGGTAGGCGTATATTTGGATGTTTCACCTCAACATAATTCTAAACGTAATGTCATGATAACATACTTGGGAAGTTTATCATGCTTAATCAGTTATTCAAAGACACTAAATGACCGTAATTATCATTTATATTCGTGTTGTTAATTTGAACCTAATACTTTGTGGTTGTCAGCAATACCCAAAATAATCTTCCAGTACGCAAAAGAGAATTTCATTGAGGGTCAATGTGTCAGAGATGATCTGTAATCATCCAAGGTTGTCAGCGTTAGTTGTCTTTTGGTTATTTATCGAAATTTAGTTTTAACGGAATTTCAAACCACCAAAAAGTCAAATATTCGACACGTCACAGCTAAAAATACTTTGCAACGACGTTACTGCTTCTCAGGTTGAAGTATGCTAACTTAACGTTTACTGTAGAAAGGTTTACAATATATTAAGACTTGCAATTTTATATTCAAATCTGTAGTGTCTATGTATATTCTCAGTTTACGTGTTTGATGGCTCTTGCTTTCATTTTCTTTCAGATCCTAGAAACCTAATACTTAAAATTGATATCTACATTAACCAGAGCAATACAAGATTTTCGGATCTAAATGACTTTTGAAAAACTTGGTGTATGTCCTGAAATTGTTGAGTTGCTACGAGATAAAGGGATTAATACACCTACGGAAGTTCAAGAAGGCTGCATTCCAATAATTTTGGAAGGTTTTTTCTGTAGCTTCTTAATGCAGTTTTAGGAAACGATGTAGTAGCATGTGCAAAAACTGGTTCTGGAAAAACAGCAGCATTTTTGATCCCCATACTTCAGTCACTAATGACGGAACTCAAACCATTATATGCTCTAATAATTACTCCAACAAGGTACTGGTTATCCAGAATTTTTGTTTATATTTTTTTGATATAATGGTTTTTTGGATTTAGCTAACACTTTTTTTCGAATGATGCATGGGTATCTTGACTGGTCAGCAGAGCTTTCCATTTTAGACAAACTTTAGTTTGTTAAGTTAATGAATTTTTCTTAGCTAAAATAAAATGTTCCATAATAGTTTCTTTCAAATGAAACCAATTGACTGGTAACTTTGATATATGGCGGAAAAAATATAAGATTGTGATTGTGGGATTTAAGATAAATGATTCCGAAATTCATCATCAGATGATGCACTCATGATACCACGTCTTTTAATTGATTTGACCAGTATTTTCCATCATATTATGCCTTAAGTGATCCACGGATTAACGTTTTTTTTCATTAGAGCATTTTAAAATATCGCAAATTCCCCTTACAGGGATAATTGTCCACAGTTAACAGGACCTTATCATCTGTGGCTCTTACTATTGTAATAACAAGAGACTATCAGAACAGATAGTCCCTATATGAAAAATAGCATTCATGAATCGCACGCCAATTAGTTTAAAATATCGTCCATGATTTACTGCATGCTAATATCAGTCAGCTATAACGTAGGAATAGGCACATATGTGCATGGGTCCAATTTGCCACACCTCATTAGCACAAGGAGGTGAACACCAAATTTATAAAAGTACTTCAATGGTAATAATATATAAAAGATTGCATATAGATATAATACAGGAAGAAAGAATTAGTTGTTAGAAAGAAGGGTATAAAGCAATTTTAATCCCACGATGTAAGGGAAGACAAAGAGTGTATACACCTACGCCATTGTGATTGATTCTGAACCATGTCACCCAGAGTCTTCAACCATTGATTACGATAAATCGTGCTGACCCTAACCAAGTAGTCTGTATCTTCCAACACGGCTCAGACCAGAAGCTAGTGACTTTATTCTAAGATTCATCCATTCAAAACTACTATCGTTATTTTAAATGTGCCTGCAAACAACGAGTGGGATATCTCTGAAGTTATCACGGAAATTGCAATTCTTATACTACCCAGCTTCGAAGGAATTATTCTTGAGTTAACATTCAAGTCACAAATTTTGTGAGGGATGATGCTACTACCCAGGTGCCACGAAATGCCCTAGTACAGCCGAGGGTAGGGTGAGTCCACTCTCCCTCTCAAAATGCTCTCACATGGCTACGCGTACACAGCATTTGCCAGAGAAGTCCTACTCACCGCCTTCTCGCGGTAGTGTTGTTTACGAAATTAAAAGTACTAAAAGCGAATGTCCGGCATTCTAACCCGGTCGGTGAATATGGAGGATTCACCTAGCGGAGTTGAAAAACCGTGGTTCAAAACCAATGGTGCACATGAGCTTTATGATATTTAGGGGACAAATAACGTATGAAACTATTGTTGGTCACCGTATACCATCGAGCTGCATACCCTAACGTTATTCCACTGCCTTGTGGATTAAACCTCTAAACCAGAGGCTCGGGGTGTGGCTACCTAAGAAAACCACCTGTTTCGGATTGGGTACCCGAGCAGTATTCCGGCCCTCACACAAATCGAATGATTTATGTGGCACATATGCATTTGGTCCCTCCTTGGACCAATTCTTATGTGTGTAAATAATGATAATACCCAAATGCCCAAATAAAGGTATTTAAGGTGAATTTCGGACCGAAGATCCAATGGTAGAAAGTCAAGTGCTTTCTCCTTCAAGGTTTGAATTGGTGGTGCTCACTTTAACAGTTCGGGTGTACATGAATAAAATTTGTCTCAACATACTATTATGGCTAGTGTTGTAAAACGATCCCATCCATAGAACTGTGATATAAAACCAAACACACGTCGATGGATTTAGGTTTTTTAAAGTCATTTCTTATTGTATCTAGCAATTTTACAAAGATAAACATAATCTATAAAGTGCAACAGGCTATGGGCGTATTTTTGTAAAATGTTTTTCAAGGCGTTATTACAATGTACGGGCTTTAATGGTTATTAAATTGTAAAATAAGGTTGTTTGTTGACGAGTACTGAGTTTCATTTTTTTCCGATTGGCAGGAGAACGCTTATAACCATATATATATATCAGTTGAACAGGCTGAAAAGTCTTGTTTTATCTCACTAACCATTCCTAAATCTGACTGACTTATGTGACGTATTCACGTTTTTGTTGTTTTAGGGAGTTGGCGCATCAAATTGGTGAACAAGCCGCTGGGTTAAATTTAATCCAAGGTGAACCACTATGTAACGTATTGGTGATAACTGGTGGAAGAAACATAGTTCATCAGAGTATTGACTTGGCTCGATCTCCACATATTATCGTTTCTACTCCTGGACGGTTGGCTGATCTTTTGCGCACCCAGATAGCCGCACAAGAAGCTGATACTGAGAATAAGCCAGAATGGACCTTATCCAGAACAAAAGTGGTGGTTCTAGACGAAGCAGATAGACTGTTGGAAGATAATTTTGGTGAAGATTTAAACACTATATTGAAAGCACTTCCGAAACGTCGTCAAACGTTACTTTTCAGCGCTACATTCAGTGGTGCAGTCAAGTCTTCCTTAGAGGCTGCAAAGTCAGTAGCCTACGCTGAAAACAGGCGCCTTCCTATTTTATGGCAACCTGAATGCATGACTACGTGTTCATCTACAGGGGCCGTAACTGTCGAGACCTTAAGTCAGTATTATATTCTGATGCGCCCTGAACACAAAGAAGCATTTTTGGTTCATACTGTCGATCAATTTCTTTCTGAGAATCCACATTCACTGATTATGATTTTTACAAATAAATGTAAATGGTGCCATCTTATTGGATTAATGATGACTAGTCTAGGTATTAAAACAACCTTACTTCACTCCTCTATGACTCAGAAAAACCGCATATCTTCGTTGACTCTTTTTCGTTCTAGTCAGATTCGTGTTCTGATTGCAACAGACCTGGCAAGCCGTGGACTTGATTTTCCAACAGTTGATATTGTAATTAATCATAATGTTCCTATTCGACCTAAAGATTATGTTCACCGAGTAGGCCGGACTGCTCGGGCTGGGAAAGCTGGTTTAGCATTGACATTGTGTGACCTTTTTGAAGTAAAACGTTTAAAAGCTATCCAAACATTTATCAGTAAGTCACACTTTAAACTGATTGTCCTAAAATAATCTCCGTAAAATTTTTCTCTCCAAAAAACAATATTCGTATATTATGCTTGTAATAATTTCCCAATATCATCTATTGACTTTGGTGCGATTCTGATCACAAAATATGTCCTAACTTGCTGTTTAGTAACACCAGTTAACAGCCGTTATAAAAAAAAGAAATCAGTTATGTAGAAACATGCCAGGAAATTCCCGATCTTACTTTTTAAAGTGTGATTAGTAGTTAAATATTTACCATTATAAACGAGGAGATTAAATTTAGAACAATTAAAAAAGTATGAAAAAATCACGCGAAGTCAACGCATACAAATACGAAATGACAAACGTCAATAACTGATTTCCCATTCCCAATGTTAAACTAACGTAAATTGGTGATAGGCTCTACGTTATGACTGACTCAGTGAATAATAATATATATATATATATATATATATATATATATATATATATATATATATATATATATATATATATATATATATATGATCAGCACATGGTTGCATTGTTGTTGATTGTCAACTTCACTCTTAACCGTTCTTTAGCTTGTAAAAACAAGCATTACTGCCTGTCTTTACACTAATGTAGTTATCGAGCTCAACACACTTCAGTAGAAATTATATGGGTATATTTAGCATGAAAATCCAGCTCCGATTAATTTTATTTAATGACTCCCCTTTAATCGATTTCACATTTCTTATGTAAATGCAATTGTTATACAATGAGTGAGACTGCTTACATTATGACCATTCTGGCAAATAATTCATTGAATAGCCTTAATATTATGTACAGAACTAATGAAAAATTTCAATTCGATGGATATAAATTGGTAATAGTAGCTGTTGCATCTCGTTATTCCCCAATACATTTCTCAAATAACTACCAAGATCCACTTAATCTGAAGGTATAAAAGGGAAAAATTCACTGTAAATTATCATCGTACATCAATTAATCTGTTTGCTTAAGAATGGGATTCTCCGTATTTCTTTTAATTTTAATTCTGTGTTGTTACAGGTGCTTAACCCCAAGTATCTTATTGATCATATTTTATGTAGATAAGGAATTGAAGACATTTGATGTGAACGAAAAAAAAGTAGCTCAAATAATTGCCGAAGTGTCTATCGCTCGTCGTGATGCAGAACGCGTAATTATTATCATCTTTATTTACATTGAAATACATTTTCTAGAAACTAGATGAAATCAGATTCGATGAGAAGCGTGAAATCAATAAGGCAAAAAATGTGAGTTATTACTTTGCGTTTGTAATAGATCTTTTTTTCTAGCTGATGAAGGCCAGAACGTCGAAAACTCTAAATAAAACTGAGAATCTCACTTCCTAAACTTTCTTGTAAATAAATCCTTTTTTTTTTTCTGATAGTTTTGTCTGTTGATTAAAATTCCCAATGGTAAGGTAATGCCTGCAATTTCTGGGGATCATAGAATAGGAAATACATAACAGTTAATAAACTGAAATAGTTCTGGCAAATTGTAGTGAAAAATGATGTTTCCTGACAGTCTAACTAAATCTTATACAAATATCTGCAAATTAATTGGTAGAAAGAAACTTTATATTAAACCGTATACTTTTTTTACTAGTTTAACAATGGTTCAGTAATTAAGGCATCAAATTTTCAGCCATTAATTTCCAAATTTGAACTTCGGTCTCTGCTTCAGTTTAAGCAACCGGCTGGAGTCAGTGGCCCTCACACTCAAAGCCATATATACTAAAATGTACTTGGCAAATGAGTTAAATCAATAACAATATATCTTTACCAACGAACTTGACAGCACATTCATGTAAAATTTGTTACAGCTATTTACAACCAAAGGAAAGGTCGTCAGGATGAAAGGGGAATAACTAAACTAAGATAATCAACTGCATCTACCTCTTAGTTACTGTATATGTCCTCTGTAACTATTCACTTCTTGTTATTACGAGTAGCACATTTATTTCGCCTTTCCGCACATAGTTTGAATGACAATTCATGACTGTTACAATGGCTTTTACTACAAGTGACTTTTTATTTTGATAGATTTACAATCAGTTATGGTTTAGTTAAAATGTGTAAATAGATAACTGCGTGTATTTTGATTCTTTAAACGCCCTACATTCAACACACCGAACTTAAGGATCCGGATCGAGAGTACATATCTTACTTTTAAACTCCACTTACACTATAGTAATGATAAAACGCAAAATCCTCACTAAGTATGATCTATAGATTCCTATGTTCAGACGACCACTGCTTTAAATGTCAGATACTTGGAAGAAACTGTAACTACCAAATGTCTTTAAGATTCCTTTGTAATTTGTTTCCAATGCAAACCAAGGGGTAATCATACGTAAAAGTTGAGGATGGGGATCTGGTTACGTCAATTATGAGCCTTGAGTAACAGAAGTGTCGATAGACTACAGTTGAATCGCATATAAAAATCCAAATGCGTACCATAAAAGTAAAATACTTCGCACTAAGAATCAACAGGCGAAGAAAGTCAACGGTGATGCCTCGTAAAAAGTACTCTGCCTACGCTACCCATTCTGTTGGAGTCCATTTAACTTGTTAACGATGTGCATAATATTAAACTCAGTTACTTCCATATCTCTGTTCCATCATACGTGGTATTTTATGACAATATTCTCCACAACATTAAACGATATTTTTCGTGACAGAAATCACTAGACATTAACTGCGCACGTACTAGAAAATGTAATATATTGCAAATGTGCTTTTATATAACGTAATTAAGATAACTAGTGTACATTAGTTTACAGTTTATTTCTATTTATAAATGAAGTAGTACCATTAATTAACAAAGAAAAAGAAATTTAAAAATGCTGAAATTGTAGAGCAACTAAGAATATATATAATCTTTAAAGCATAGCATAATTCCTTTTAAGCTCATGAAATAATTAAGAAGACATGTACACAATGACATCAGGAAACGATTAACCTGATTAAATAAAAAAAGACCAGCAAAAGTAAGCAATAACAATATTAACTATTAAGATAGATATGCATAAAAAGAATATATGGATACACAAAAGAATCATTATGAAAGAAAACTATAGAGAATTCAAGTATACGCTCCAAATAAACTATACAACAGTCATTTTTAAGTGGAATGATAGTGTTTGCACAACATTCCCAGGGACAAAATAGTGTTTTTCAAGCTATTGTACAGTGTATTTGAAATAATCATAACTCGGTTGCTGCAGAGGGTTTTGTTGCATACAGTTATTCGTTTCATTATTGGTTTGCAATATGTGAGGCTGAGTGTATACAAAATCGCTGGCGGATAAATCATCTTGCGTGTGGTTATTTGCAACGGGTTGATGATAAATATCCGACGGTATAGAGGAAGACTCCGAAGTGGATATGGAACTGGAAGGTAGTGTAGGATCGTACCATCCATGAAAAGCAGAAGTAGGATGATCAGTAATTGGTTGTCGATATGTCCTGGAATCTGAGGCAATATCAATACTTGGTAAGTATGTTTCATGATTACCAAATGGCCGGTTCATATTGAGATATGACATGGTATGTGGTGACATATTTTCTGTAATATCACAACCACAATCACCTACTGAATCTGACGGCATAAAGCAGATAGCTGATGGGCGTGTTAATCCACTTTCAGATGTTTGAACTATGCAGTCACCTGTGTTCAGGTTAGACGCTTGAAAAGCACAGTTAACATCAAGAGAGTTGTTGCGTTTGTGATCTGTAAATATAAATTTGAAAGTTTCTCGTCAAGCACAAAGATATGTAGGCAATAAATAAATACTTAACGATAAGAACGTAGATTTTAGTAACAACTTATAAGTATTTTCTTACTTCAGTGTGCTGAACAAGATGTGAGTGGAACTAGTAGACACTTAATAATGATTGCAACGATATTTAGCAGGACAGTTTCCTAAATACTGATAAGATAAAGTGGGACAACAGCAACAATATGAGCCATGAATTATCCATGTTAAACATGGAAATCATATTTAGCTACATATCTGAAGTGAATTGAGAAAAACAACAGTAGCTTATTAAGGCGGTGCTTTGTTCTACAACTTTCTGTGCAAGTATAATTATTAGTAATACTTTTTATATTGGTATACAACATAGCCTATAGTTTTGTGTTGCATTAGTCTACGTGATACTTCTGCAGTCGTCACAAGAGAACAAATGCCTTGGCAATAAAAGTAAATCAATGTCTCGGAAAAGTATCTAGAAGTTGAGAACTAAATACAACCAGTAAGAAGTCAAACGTATTCTTTAATCGACAGCAAGTAAAGCTTCCTTAAACTATCTGATTACTTTCTAGAATAAGTGATATATCCTGGTAAATTTACCACACTTTAATCAAAGAATATAATCACGATCCAGTTTTGCTCTGTTAGTCATTTCACATTACCGCACATTTGACGAGTCTTATTCAACTGGGAGTTTATATGAAAAATGAGAACAAAAGCCAGTTCTGATTGATTTTATATCACGTTGATAAACAGAGTTCTGAAATGATTATGAGAATAGATTTCAGTGCTATGAGGTAAGGACCGAGAGAAAATGAACAAAAAGTCACAAGTTATCATGAAATATTTATTATCCTGTATTATGGATTTACTTTCAGTTAAAAGCTTAACACTAGATATTAGAGAACACTCATTTCTGTGCATTTGTATAACAAAATAAACTTTAAAGTAATTAAAAAACTTGGATTGTTGCCAAGGGTATATACTATCTTAATTAAATTTCGATTAATGCTCACTTGGATATCCATAACAGTATAATTAACGTGAAACTTACCAAAATTATTTAGCGCCTGAACATCACTTGTCGGAAAATTTGTACCGTTTCGTAGTGTACCGTAATTGTTTGGCATAGATGACAAATAGTCACCAGATGCTGGATCTGTATGGTGCTGAATATTGGCGCGTTCTTGATTTGATTGCGGTATTAATTGTGTGTTAGAGCATGACAAACTATGTAATGAGCTAGGTTCGTTCAAGGATGAATCTACCTGGCCGGAAAATGGATATGATTGATGATCAATATTCGAGGATAGATTCATCTCAGTAGTACTTGGTTGTATTGCGAATCCTGGGTCAAAGTGATCTGTATTTTCATTTGTATGTCTCCAGTAAGTAGACAAATGTGATTCTTTTGCTTGGTTAACTGAATGAATATAAGTCGAAGATTTAGGGTTCGGTTGAATTGGTGTCGTATTAATATGATCACGTACTATCGAACAATTAGCGTGAGTAACATGGGATGTCCTCTCAAAGAAATCTGCCTTAGTTTGACCGTAACTGTTGTTTTCCGTATAGGTACTATTTGGATTTGAACCTGAAGTCTCATTTTCGAAAGCTCTGAAATGGAATAAAGTTAATTGAATATATGCACGAAAATAAGTAGATATTCGTAGCATCCTAGTTGGTAAAACAAGGAATTAAATGTAATAATAAAGTGAATTTTTTCATGATATACCATACAATCTACTGAGTCTTACATTTAACTAAGAACATACTTACTTCATAGAACTTGTCGTACAAATAACATATTCTACCTCCTCACTGTAGGGATTCACAAACGCTGTTAAATGACACTTAACGAACAGCAATTCAGTAAATAATTTGGAACGCATATGTACCATGATTGTGAATGACTGGCCTTTGAGCTTCCAGGCTAATTGAAAGGACAAAAACGTTATATTTTTATTTAATTCATAATAAGAATTATGACAAAGAGTAATAATATTCCTAATGTAAATGTGACATGGTTTGAAGTAACCGTGAATACTCTGACGACATTTAAAGTCAGAACATAACAGCTTCCTTCTCCAAAACACGTAATACAAGGAAGATTTATATGATAGAGACCATAAAAAATTAAAAATGAAATTTGAATACACTGAATTGTCATTCGATTACAGTGATTATAAATTATATAATAGTCATCAAACAGAATAATCGTCATTTAAACACAAAATGACAGAGAAATAATACAATTGAATGGTATGCTAAGTAAAATCGAAGTGAATGAAAAAATTAAGATGGATTAACTGATATAAATTAATGTTGTACTGCGCAAAAATCAGACTGAATTAATAAGTGAAATGAACAGAAATTACACAGAATCCATACAAAATCCAACTAAATGAAAATCACATCAAAGTCAATACACAATCTGTATTAGTTGTTTGAATCTTCCCATTGCTGTTTACGATTGCAATTGACCAGTCACTTTCCAGGTATATCCAGCCGATGAGTTCCAAGTAGGATGAGACGCGAGTCCTGGATCCCACTGCTGGTCACTATTGATCCATGCTTGTCAACACATAATCTCTT